TTTCATGGAGAACTATATTATTTTTTCCCATTTGAGAAGGTTTAAAATTTTTTTTACTTTTAATACATTTTTGAATTACAGAAAAGTTTCAAAGTAGTATAGCGGATGCTCATATATCCTTCAGCCAGCATCAGTAAATAACATCTTGCATAATTATCACCAAATGTTCAGAATTAAGAAATTAACATTGGTACACTAGCAACTATCAATGAAATTACAGACTTTTTTTGGATTTTACTAGTTTTTCCATTAATATCCTTTTTCTATTTCAGGACCCAATCCAGGATCTCAAATTGCATTTAGTTATCATGTCTCCTTAGTTGGGGACAGTTGCTTAGTCTTACGTGGTTTTTCATGATTGTGACACTTTAGAAAAATTAGTTATTTTGTAGAATGTCAAACCACTTGTATTTTGTAGAATGTCAATTTTTTTCTATCCAAAATTTTCTCATAATTAGATTGAAGTTATACATTGTTGTCAAGCATACCATAGACGTGATATGCCCTTCTCAGTACAGCATTTGTGTCTTATTATTAGAAATGATTAACTATTTGGCAGACTATTTGGTAAATGAAGGAATTAGGAAACTGAGTCATTTCATGTATAACTTTTTTTTTTCAACTTGAGAAGATTTTTGATTGTTTTGACTTTTAAATGTGTTTTTGAATTATAGAAAAGTCTGGCAGATTATTGCCAACCAATATATGTCTTATTACTGGTTATGTTAACCTTCATCACTTGGGTAAGCAGATGTTCATTGATTTTCTCCACTCCAATGCCACTATTTTTAACTTTGAAATCACATATATATTGGTGGAAATAAACTCTTGTTTTTCTTCAAATTTTTCTTCACTGATTTTAGTATTCGTTAGCAGATAATGAGTACAGCAATTATTACTGAAGAGTTCTAATGCTCATTTTGTATTTCCTTCACTTTTGCCATATTTGTTAGTTGGAATTATTCTGTGAGGAACAGCTCTTTCTTCTACCCCATTTATTTATGCTATTATTTACTTTTATAGATATGAACTCACAGATTTTTTTTTTAATTCTATGGGTTATATTCTGATATGGCTTGGATCTGTGTCCCTGCCCAAATCTCATGTGGAATTGTAATCCCCAGTGTTGGAGCTGAAGCCTGGTAGCAGGTAATTGGATCATGGGGGCAGAGTTCTTATAAATGGTTTAGCACCATCCCCAACTGGTACTGTATAGTGAGTGAGTTCTCACAAGAGCTTGTTGTTTAAAAGTGTGTAGCCCCTTCCGCAAACTCATGCTCCTACTCTGGCCATGTAAGACACCTGCTCCCACTTTGCCTTCTGCCATGAGTAAAAGCTCCCTGAGGCCTTCCCAGAAGCAGAAGCTACCATGCTCCCTGTACAGCCTGTGGAACCATAAGCCAATTAAATCTCTTTTCTTTATAAATTACCCAGTCTCAAATATTTTTATAGCAGTGTGAGAACAGACTAATACAGAAAATTGGTACTGAGGAGTGGAGCACTGCCAAAAATATACCTGAAAATGTGGAAGCAACTTTAACTGGGTAACAGGCAGAAGGTGGAGGGCCCAGAAGAAGATAAGAATATAAGAGAAACTTTGGAACTTCCTAGAGACTTGTTAAATTGTTGCCACCAAAATACTGGTAGTGATATGGGTAACGAAGTCCAGGCTGAGGAGGTTTCAGATGGAGATAAGGAACTTATTGGGAATTGGAGTAAAGGTCACTTTTATTATGCTTTAGCAAAGAACTTGGAGGCATTGTGCCCCCATCCTAGGGATCTGTGGAACTTCGAACTTCAGAGTGATGATTTAGGGTATCTGGGAGAAGAAATTTCTAAGCAGCAAAGCGTTCAAGAAGCAGCCTGGCTGCTTTAACAACTTATGCTCATATGTATGAGCAAAAAATGATGTAAAACTGGAACTTATATTAAAAAGGAAGCAAAGTATAAAAGTTTGAAAAATTCACAGCCTGGCTATGTGGTAGAAAGAAATGGCCATTTTCAGGGGAGGAATTCAGGAAGGCTGCAGAAATTTGCATAAGTAGAAAGGAGTCAAATGCTAATAGTGGAGACAATGGGGAGAAGGCCTCAAAGGCATTTCAGAAACCTTTGTGGAAGCCTCTCCCATCACAGACCTGTAAGCCTAGAAGGGAAGAATGGTTTTGTGAGCCAGGCCTAGGGCCCTATCACCCTGCACAGCCTCAAGACACTGGTCCCTGCATCCCAGCTGCTCCAGCTCCAGCCCTGGCTCAAAGAGACCCAGGTACAGCTCAAGCCATTGCTTTAGAGAGTGCAAGCCATAAGCCTTGGTGGCTTCCACAGGGTGTTAAGCCTGCAGGTGCACAGAGTGCAAGAGTTGAGGCTTGAGAGACTCTACTTAGATTTAGGAGGATGTATGGAAAAGCCTGGATGTCCAGGCAGAAATCTGCTGCAGGAGTGGAACCATCATAGATAACCTCTACTAGGGCAGTGTGGAGGGGAAATGTGAGGCCTGAGCCCCCATACAGAGTCCCCACTGGGGCACTGCCTAGTGGAGCTGTGAGAAAAGGTCCACCATCCTCCAGACCCCAGAATGGTAGATACACTGGCAGCTTGCACTCATCACCTGGAAAAACCAAAGGCACTCAACATCAGCCCTTGAGAGCAGCTGCAGGGATTAAACCCTGCAAAGCCACAGGGGCAGAGCTGCCCAGGTCCTTGGGAACCCACCCCTTGCATCAATGTGCCCTGGATGTGAGACATGGGTTCAAAGGAGATTATTTTGAAGCTTTGAAGTTTAATGACTGCTCTTCTGGGTTTTGAACTTGCATGAAGCCTGTAGCCCCTTTCTTTCTGCCAATTTTTCCCTTTCAGAATGTAAACATTTACCTAACACCCATAGTCCCATTGTATCTTGGAAGTAACTAACTTGAATTTGATTTTACAGGCTCATAGGTGGAAGGAACTTACCTTGTCTCAAATGAGACTTTGGACTTTGGACTTTTGAATTAATGCTGAAATTCACTAAGACTTTGAGGTACTGTTGGGAAGGCATGATTGTATTTTGAAATGTGAGAACAATGATTATATTTTGAAATGTGAGAGTAGACTAATATATTTTCCAAAACAATTGTTATTTATTTTGTGGCTCAAATTGTTGCAACTTTGGTCATCAGGAGTTCTTTCAGGTTAGTTTCTGGACCATTTTGTCATGTACCTTCATTTTTTAAAAGACATTTCCTACCACCACGAGATGCTCTAGGCTCATCTCATATCCCCTGACAAAGTGATGGAATCAACCAGCCACTTCTCCAAGAAATTCTGGCTCCCTTTACTGGAGAATAAAGAAACCAAGGTCTAAGCACTAGGTGTCATTGCTTCTAGGGCTTCTCTATGGACAGAGCTTGAAAATATATGTCTGTGTGCATGAACCCATGTATACATACAAATGCATATTTATCCATCAAAAAACTCTGAATGCATACTGATAATTCTAATCCTTGTGAATATCACAAGGTTAATTTTAATATACCCATTACATTTTCTTGTTTATAGTTTCTTTCTCCTAAAATATTTTCTATCTGATTCTTTATAGACAAAGTTTGTCCACCCCTGTTTTATATCATTCCGATTTCAGATCACTGTTCATATATTTGAATTTAAGAATATATTGACAGAAGTTTTCCATGTTCCACTTCTTTTTTTCCTTCTTTTCCTTCTATTGGGCTAATCAAACATATTTTATTATTTCATCTAATCCTCATTGTTGATTTATTATATATACCACTTTTTAAAAGAAATATTTAGTGGTTATACTAGGGTTACAGTATTTTTCTTAATTAATCAGAGTCTATCTTCAAGTAATGTTATCCCAATTCACACATGGTATAAAGACTTCAAAATAGTTTTTCCAACTTCCTACTTTTCATTCTTTGTGCTTATGTTGTCATACATATACACTATAAACACACAGTGTTAGAGATCAAAATGACAGGAATCTTGGATTCAGTCCTGTTTCAAAGTTCATCAGATGACCTGCACAAATCATTCAAACTTTCTTCTGTGCTCTTGGTTCTTTAAGTCAAGCATATCTATTATGCCTACCTCATAAAAAGATCCCAGGTTAACATTAGATTTCAAAATCTATGTGACCAAACCAAATTAAAATCTATAAATCTATATGTCTCAGAGTAGACTGTGAACTTGGGTCGGTGCTGGCATCAGTCCTCTATGGAGCAGCCAAACCAAACCCACTGCAAATACTTTTTCCTTATTACAGGCTCCTCAGTGAAAAATTTGACAATCATAGACCCAGTTTTATAAGGTTAAAACAGCTTTTCCAAAGGTCATCATGTAAAGACATAAAGAAGTATTGTTAAAGCGAATTTGGTAGAACAGGATCAAAGATGTTGGAAGAATTTCAAGATCTGAAACAAGAAGACCAGTTGTGAAATTGGTCTTGATTCCATCTTTTTAAAAACATAAGACTGGAAAGATTGATGGGCATGCTTAAATAAGTTTACCCTCCTGTGTAGGGCAGCAGTAATAAACCCATGGAGGGAGCCACAGGGCCAGCAGTTACTGCTTCCTGTGGGCACTGGTGCAGCTGTCTGGGTGCCTGCTATTTCCAGCACTGTTTTCATCAGATCAAGAATACAAATCCCAGATGGATTCAAACCCATGACTATAAGCTGTCACTCTGTTAGTCTCAGATGCGATTAATATTATTGTCTTCCCTATGTTATATTTGAGGTTCTTTTAGTTCAATTCAGCAAATTGTATTGCAACCTACTATGTATGAGATAATATGCACTTGAATCCTGCCAACTGGGTCTTGATGATAACGCTCAGATGGAAACTAGAAAGTTTGACTTTCGGTTGACGATTACTCTCCATCATTCAAACTTCTGGCTCTTTTTCTCATCAGTTATTTATTGTAACTATAATATTTATCAAATTGTATTAACTAAATATAATTATTTATCCAACACTCTTTTTCTCGTCAGTTATTTATTGTAACTAGAATTAGACTCATAAAACTTTAGGAATTTGAAATCATATAGCCTACTATGCAGAACACTTCATTTCTCCTTCCTGCCTCTGCTTGAGCTAATAACTACAGTTTGTGATCCAGGCCCCTCCTTAAGGTGGAGTTGACATAGCTGACGCTTCTGTCTTAGCTGAAACAAGCAAAAGGTTGTGAATCCATGCTAAAGGTAAACAAACTGTAACTTATATCTGCAGTTTATTGTGGTACAAAGGAGAGGTATGCCAGTAGCACACTGGTGGCTTCAGAAGAAATCCTCAACTCCTGGCTCGCCAGAGAGTCTATGTATGGGATTGAACAGTCTTCAAACTAAAGGTATGAAAATATTTGTAAAATTGGGGGGGTGAGGGAAAAGTGTAACATTTATTTTTGGGTGCAGAAATGTCTAATGCCCATGTATAAACTAGGGACCTGGGGTGAAAGGTGCTTCTACAGGAGGGTAAATTTTGAGGGATGGAAAGTTTTAGAAGGGCAGCATTCAAGCAATCTGATGTTAAAGTTTAAAGTTCCAAGTTAAAAGAGAACTTGGAATTCCAGTGCAAAGAGAAATGTTAAGACAAATCATAGAAAAATACTGATAAGGCCTGAATTGTTTTTTAAGTAAGAAATGTTTTAAAATAATTCTTTTCAAGCTTCAGAGGTGCTAGAAAGCCTGCCAAAACAGAAAACGAGGACGTATTAACATTGGCATTAATGAAACAGAAAAACTAATTTATATTCAACAGGCACTATAATCATGTGGTTCTCGGTGTCAATATTTGCTGGAGTATTTTGTGTCTGCCCTTGAGTTTAAGGGAATAGAACAGGGAACCTGATAGTTAGGTGACAAATAGTCTGGAGACTTCATCTAGACACAAGCAAGCTTGCATACTTCAGGCCCTTAGCTGCTCGATTTCTTAAAGTTCACAGTGGGCTCCATGAAATATTTGTTCTGTAGAATGTACAAGCAGATAGCTAAAAGAGAGCACCTGGGAGATACCAAGTACAGCTTGGAGGGTGAAGGTTTACTTCTGGGAGTTATTTATCTGAGGCTAAAAAGTAATCATGAGTCAAAAAAATTTCAAATGTTTCCCATGTTTGTTTGCTTTTCTGTTTTGTTTTGTTGTATGTTTTTGTGCTTGTTTTTGTATTGTCTCTTGTAGGATCCTAATCATGAAAATAAGTATGATAAATTATAAGTCGCTGTGGGCACTGTTGTTTATATTAGCCTCCTGGATCACTTTTACAGTTTTCCAGAACTCCGCAAAGGTAGGAAATGCTTTATTTATGTGGTTTACAAAAGCTTATTTTTGCTTGTTACCTCATCTGTTCTAGGAAAGGCTAAACTACAAGACTTGTAGATCATAGGAGGGGAGTTTCAACAGCTAGATACCAAACAACATACCTGATAATCATTAAGCAATATGTGAGAGGATAAATACTGTGTGTGTGTTGACACATACACATTCTTTCTTTGTCACAAATAAATGCATTGCACTTATCTTCTTGCAATGCTTATCTCATCTTTTTACTTTCTTTAAGGGAACATCTGAAGAACAGAATATCTGTATTTTTGGTTTTTATTTGTTTGTTTTTAATTTTTAATTTTTGTGGGTACAAAGTAGGTGTATGTATTTATGAGGTAGATGAGATATTTTGATACAAGCATACAATACATAGTAATCACATCAGGGTAAATGGGGTATTCATTGTCTCAAGAGTTTATCTTTTCTTTGTGCTACAAACAATACAATTATACTCTTTTCGCTATTTTTTAAATGTAAAATAAATTATTGGTGATTGTAGTTACCCTGTTATACTATCAAATACTAGATCTTATTCATTCTGTCTAATCATATTTTTGTACTCATTAACTAGCCCCACTTCACCTCCATGCCCCCACTACCCTTCCCAGCCTTTGGTAGCCGTCATTCTACTCTCTATCTCCATGAGTTCAATTGTTTTAATTATTAACTTCCACAAATAAAAAAGAACATGCAAAGTTTGTCTTTTGTGCCTAGCTTATTTCACTTAACATAATGACCTCCAGTTCCATCCATGTTGCTGCAAATGACAGAATCTTGTTCTTTTTATAACTGAATACTACTCCATTATGTATGTATACCATATTTTCTTTGTATATTTGTCTGTTGATGGACATTTAGGCTGCTTACAAATCATGGCTACTGTAATTAGTACTGTAATAAACACGGGAGTGCAAGTAGCTCTTGGATATACTGATTTCCTTTCTTTTGGGTATATACTTAGCCATGGGATTGCTGGATCATATGGTAGTTCTATTTTTAGTTTTTTGAGGAACCTTCAAACTGTTCTCTATAGTGGTGTACTAATTACTTTCCCACCAACAGTGTACAAGGGTTCCCTTTTCTCCACATCCTCACTAGCATATGTTACTACCTGTCTTTTGGATAAAAGTCATTTTAACAGGAGTGAGATTATATTACATTGTAGTTTTGATTTGTGTTTCTCTAATGATCAATGATGTTGAGCACCTTGTAATATACCTGATTGCCATTTGTATATCTTCTTCTGGTAAGTGTCTATTCAGATCTTTTGCCCATTTTTTAATTGGATTATTAGATTTTTTTTTGCTATAGAGTTGGTTGAGTTCCTTGTATATTCTGGATAGTAATCCCTTGTCAGATGGATAGTTCGCAAATATCTTCTCCCATTCTGGAGGTTAACTCTTCACTCACTTGATTGCTTCTTTTGCTGTGAAGAAGTTTTTAGTTTTATATAATCCCATTTGTCTATCTTTGCTTTTGTTCTCGGTGCATTTGAGGTCTTATCCAAAAATCCTCTGGCTACTCCAGTGTCCTGAACAGTATTCCCTATGTTTTCTTCTAGTATTTTCATACTTTGGGTCATACACATCAGTATTTAATTCATTTTTAACTGAGTTTTGTATATGGTGAGAGAAAAGGGTCTAATATCATTATTTTGCATATAGATATTCAGTTTCTCCAGCACCATTTATTTTAAATACTTTTGTTCCCCCATTGTATGTTCTTGATGACTTTGTCAAAAATCCAGATGACTGTAAATATGTGGATTCATTTGTGTGTTCTCTATTGTGTTCCATTGGTCTATGTGACTATATTTATGCCAGTATAACACTGTTTTGTTTACTATAACTTTGTAGTATATTTTGAAGTCAGGTAATATAATGCCTTCAGCTTTGTTCTTTTTGCTCAGAAAAGCTTTGGCTATTCTGCATCTTGTTTCTATACAGATTTTAAGATTGTTTTGCTATGTTGACAAAGAATATTATTAGTATTTTGATAGGGTTTGCCTTGAATTTGTAGATTGCTTTTAGTAGTCTGAACATTTTAACATTTATTCTTCTAGCCCATGAACATGGAATATCTTTCTATTTTGTGTGTGTGTATGTGTATGTGTGTGTGTGTGTGTGTGTGTGTGTGTGTGTGTGTGTTTTCCAGTTTCTTGCATCAATGTTTTGTAGTTTTCACTGTAGAGATCTTTCACCTCTTTAGATCAATTTATTCCTAGGATTTTTTTTTTTTTGTAGCTACTGTAAATGAAATTGCTTTCTTGATTTTTTTTCAGGTTGTTTGGTATTGGTGTATAGAAATGTTACTGATTTTTTTATGTTGATTTTGTATCCTGCAGCTTTACTGAGTTTTTAAAATCAGTTCTGACAGTTTTTCATTGAAGTCTATGGGGTTTTCTAAATATAAATTTATGTGGTCTGCAAACAGGGACAATTTAACTTCCTTCCTTCCAATTTGTATGCCCTTTATTTATTTGTCTGACTTAATTTTCTTCTAGTCCTAGCTCTGGCTAGGACTTCCAATACTATGTTGAATGAAACTGGTAAAAAGCGGTCAACACTATCTGTTCCAGATCGCAGAAGGCTTTCAACTTTTCCACATTGAATGTGATGTTAGCTGTGGATTTGTTATACATGGATTTTATTGTTTTGAGGTACATTTCTTCCATACCTAATTTGTTGAGATATTTTTATCTGAAGCAAAGTTGAATGTTATCAAATGCCTTTTCTATTGAGATGATTATATGATTTTTGTTAAATGAGAAGGGTCCACCTGACAAATGGACTTTCAAAAAATTAGGGACATAATATACCCTGGTCAATATCTCAGATAATCCTTGCATCAAAGGCTGTCAGTCCAAACATATCCTGTTCACCCACAGATTTGTAGGTCACTACTTTTAGCAAACATCATACAGGGGTCTGGAATTCCATGAGGAATTTATTGTTTCGAGGTACATTTGGTGAAAGATTTTAAGGACTTTCCATTGGCTGGAGGCTGGCAAGTGGAGTTTGCCATATTCTGACTGTAGTCATCCTGAGAGCTGGAAAGTAAACCCTTGAGAAATGGCCCATTCTATTTCTGCAGGGGAGTACTGAGGCTTAATTTCTTTTATGGAGCCTTTCCAGGTTAGAGGGGCTTCAAGTTGATGCCATGAGGCTTTCTTGCTGCTGACTTGGCTGTCTGATCTGCTAACTTGTTTCCTTCAGCTATTTCTTTTGTTCCCTTCTGATGTCCCTTACAATGCATCACTGCTACCTCTCTCATGGAAGGAAAACTGAGGATAATAATCTGTTAGTTTCCTGGTGGTAATTTATAGTAGATTCATTAGTGGTAAGAAAGTGTCTTTCCTTCCAAATGGTAGCATGAGCATGGAGAACTAAAAAAGCATACTTGGAGTCAATGTAAATGTTAGCTACCTTTCACTTGCTTAATTCAAGTGCTCTTGTAAGAGCTATCAGTTCAGCTAGTTGAGCACTTACGCCTGGATAGAGAGGTGCACTTTCAATAATATCATTCAGAGTTGACTACTGGATATTCTGCCTTACGGGCTTCTTGCTCTACAAAGGAACTGCCATCTGTGAAGATGGTCCAGTCTGGATTTTCTAGGGCAGTTTCCCTGAGATTCTCCCTGGCTTCATAGATCTGTACCACAACTTGCTCACAGTCATGTTCAGGTTCCCCAGTTTTCTTGGGGAGGAAAGTGGCTGGGTTTAGGCAAGAACAAGTTTTTAACTGAACTGCTGACCCTTCTAACAGCACAGCCTGATATTTAAGGAGCCAACTGTCTGTTAGCCAAAGGTTCACCATAAAAGACAGCAATCCTGCTACATTATATGGGGCATAAACAGTTAAGCCATTTTCCCAGGGATAGTTTGGTGACCTCTAGTACCAGTAGGGCCAACATGGCCATTGCTCAGAGGCATGCTGGCCATCCTTCACCCACCAAATCAAGTTTCTTACTCAGGTAGCCCACTAGTAGTTAGGCTGGTCCTCAGGCCTGAATTAAAATTTCCATTCCCATTCCTTTCCTTTCTGATACATAAAGATTGAAGGTCCTCCCTACAGGATGGCTGAGGGTTGGTACCTTAAGTAAGGCCTGCTTTAGCTGGCTAAAGGCCTTTTGAGCTTTAGGTTTCCAGGTTAGGATATGAGTTTTATCCACTTGAGTTTCTTTTATGAAGTGATATAGAGGATGACCTATCTCATCATACCCAGTTATCCATAGCCTGCAAAATCCTGTAATGCCCCAAAATCCTGTCAGTTGCTTGAGGATTTTAGGGAGGGAGAAGGAGGAAATGGGCTTAATTCTTTCTTCCCCTAATGCTCTGATCCTTTCAGAAGCACTAAACCAAGGTACTTTACCAAGGTTTTGCAAAGTTGGACCTTAGATTTTTAAATCTTATATGCTCTGTCAGCTAAGAAATTAAGAAGAGCTTTAGTGCCTTCCCAAGAGGTTTCCTCAGTTGGGGCACAGAGCAGTATATCATCCCATATTGCAAGACCCTTACCTGAGGATGGGAAAACTCAGAGAGGTCCTTTGACAATGCTTCTGTCCAAACAAATGAGGGATAATCTCAAAATCCCTGAGGCAGCACCATGCATTTTAACTGGGCAGTTTGGCCAGAGGGATTCTTCAAAGGCAAACAGGTATTGAGAGTCAGGATGTAACAGTATGCAGAAAAAGGCATCCTTTAAATCTAGGACTGTAAACCATTTAGTTCCCGCAGGTATCTGGATTAGCAAGGTATAGGGATTAGGTACTACCAGATGGATTGAAACTATGGCCTTATTAATGAACCTCCATTCTGCATTGGGTTTTTGTGCTCCTAATATTGGGGTGTTGTAGGGACTGTTACAGGGTTTAAGGAAGCCCTGCATCTTCAGGTTATTAATAACGGCTTCTAGCCCTTTCTTAGCTTCTGGCTTTAGGCGATATTGTCTCTGATTAGGAAA